TTTTATCCATGGATTATTTATACAAACATTTGAATATTTCAAAAAATTTATGCATTAATCTAACATTAATTTTATTTATGAAATTGATAAAAAACCTAAATTAAAAATAATATAATAAAATAAAAAATAAATTACTTTTTAAACATTAGTATCATTATTATAAATTTATTAGCATAGAATAATATATTGATCATTGTCATTAGCAATAAATTAGTTCCCAATTTTTTATCACGAAGAACCTATCAGATTTGTAAAAATCGGCATGGATATCGAGGCGGCAGAGCTCCAGGACTGGGAGCTTCTTTTACCCAACCCAATTTTAGTTGATTCGGGTTTCCCGACTCCTCTGAGAACCCGAATGATTTTCAAGAAATCGGAGCCAATTCTCAAGGTACTGTACACACCAATTACTTCTATTTGGATACTACGGATTTTGATAAGGATTTCTTCAGTAAAGAGGAGGTTGAAGAAGATGGGGTTGCGGTTGATGAAGAGGGAAGATCGGCGGACCGAGAAAATGAGGCGGAAAGCAGAATCCCTGGCCTTTTCTTTGGATTTGCCAAAGACTTTTTTATTTATACTTTAGGTTAAGAATCCATCACAATCCATTTTTTATAACAATCCTTACAAATCTATCAATTTTCCAATATCATTAGATTTAGAAAGATTTTTTAAAATCTCAATTGAATACCTCTAAATTTTAAATGGTTTTTTTAAAATCCTAATTGAATATCTATTGACTTTTAAAATCCAAAAAAAATCATGCAGAGTCTATATTGAATACACCCCCCTTAGTATTGGCCTTACTCAAAGGATTCATGTAGTTCAAAATAACCCAGATCCCCTGGGTGGAAAATGCGGGTGCGGACCTCCTTTCAAAACTGGCATAGTCCATACTGGAGCATGTTTCAAAACTTGCCCGGGTGGAAATTATTGATCATGCAAGCATCGAAAATTGGAAATTACAACGATCGTGGCAGCCGAACAATCCAATCGGTCAGGAGTTAACACGGTGGGAGCTGATGACCATGGGATGCATGACCTATTGAAGTACTTGGTGGATGGAAGTCTGTCAAAGTAGGATGACCGGGTGCGAAAATTTAAGCTTAGAGCACCCCGATTCCAAGTCATCGACAGAATGTTATACAAGAGGGCATTTGGGGGATGACTCCTTGGGTGCCTAACCAACTGGGAAGTAGAGCGTGTGATTGTGGAAGTCCACGAGGGGGTATGCCGGCACACCAAATGTCTCGAACCCTATCTCAGCGCATCATATTATTGGGGTATTGCTACATTGATGCAAAAGTACTGAACATCGCTGTTAAGGCTTAAACTTTTCAACTAGAATGTTCAGCGGTAACCTAAAATCAATGTTCAACAGGTGAGCATCATTGTTGAATGGGTTGACTTCCAAAGAAGGACAGATTTAGCCTTTAGTTTCTACCAACGGTCAGGAACCAACATCGATGTTCATCATTGAACATCGTTGTTGAGAGCTCTACTGCCAAGGGAAGAAATTGGCCTAACATTGATGTTGCTGGGCCAACATTTCTATTGAAATTCATTTTGCCAAAGATAGATTTTTATGCTCAAAGCTCAACATCGATGTAGCATCCCCTACATCACTGTTGAGGTCTAGAAATTTTCACTTTAGACATAACAACGATGTTCTACTTCCAACATCGCTGATGGGTGACATTCTACCAAACCATGGTTTTCAACATCAACCTCAACAACAATGTTGCAAGGCCAACATCGTTGTTGGGCTGATTTGCCAGAATTATGGTTAGACAGTCAACACACAAAACCGAAGTCAAAAACCAAATATCTCTAGTTTGAAAACTAAGTAATAGGAATACTTATTTAATGCATTTTAATAAGAAACCAAGTGTAATATCTTAAAAATCATGTCATTACGGAAGAAACCACGGGTAGCCAAGTTTAAGCCGTTTGACATGATTTTTGCCAAAAGACCAAAAACGGAAGGTGGTTTTTAACATGTTTTTTTGGAGAACTATTTAAATGTGCCCAGAAGTAAAAACTAATGATAAAAGATTAAAAACCACTTGGTAGGTACAGACACCAAAAACCAAACCCTATAACCAAAAGCCGAACGCCGATTTCTGAAAGCCAAACGTTGTTGTTTTTGGTTTGAACGAACACCAAGTGTTTTTGGCTTATAAAACATTTATTAAAATTGTTTTAATGATGCATAAAATCGTATTAATGGTTTTAATCCTAGAGACCCAAGTCACAAAGTTAATACCGGACTTGATCACATTAAGACTGACTCAACTATTTATTAAGTCTTCGTCTTCGTTCTTGGTTCTTGAATTTATTTTATCACCTTGCTATATTGTTCTTCGCCTTGTGTTTGTTCAAAGTTTTTTCATATACTTGGCGGTTTGGCATTTATCAAAACCTGTCAAAAACAAACACCTCTTTAGCACAACGTAGTCTTAAAGTGTGTTCCAACAACAATAAGTGTGCCATGATGCGCGATACTTCCGGATAGCTCGTACCAATACTGAACCAGATACTTCGATTTGGTATGAGATTTTATCTCATAGTAAACCCGATCCCATAATTTGGTTCAACATGGTTTGGGATAGTTCGGTATCAATTTTTGTATAAATAGGTATAAATACATGCATGTGTACCTAATTTATATTTTAAGATTTAACAAAACCCTTTACAACAACAACAACAAAAACAACCCAGTATAATCTAGGAAAGCAGAGTCTAGGGAGGGTGAGTGTATACAAACCTTGCCCCAACTCGAAAGTAGAAAGGCTTTTTCAAAGAGACCCCAGCTCGAGCCAAATTTAACAAAACCCTTTAATTTTGAAAAATAAAAATGTATTTTAATAAAGAATCATAAGAAACTGAAAAATTAATAATTAAATTCAAGAAAGACTTATGAAACTTATAGTTTTTATTTCAGAAACTAAAGAAAATGAATGATTAGAAAATAGTATTCTAAATGCTTGTTAATATTTTTAATTCATCAACATAAAATTAAAACTTGAATAAAAGAATAATGTACACATAATAAAATTTGAACCAAAATTTTAAGTAGACTTATTGTTTAATGAATAAATATAAAACGAATATTATATTTATAGTATTTTAGCATATATCTTCGGTTCGGGAATTTCAAAATGGAAAATTACCTCGTACCGTTCAAAAATACCGATCTCATCATTCGGTTCGGTACAGTTTGATTTTTTCCAATATGTCTTCGGTCCAATTTTCTCAATTTTTTTCAGTAATTTTTAAATTCCGTTTGATACTTGTTCACCCCTCCACCCCGCTATACGATATAATATGCCTTCCATTCAAGGCAGTATTAGGGGTGGGAAAAAATATCGGTCCGACATTGTTTCGAACCGGACGGTTATTGTACCAAACCGAAAAGTGGGTTTTCAAATGGTTCTAGTAAATCATATCTACAGACGAACCAAACCGTTTTCAAGATGGTAAGGGATGGGTTCTCGGCCAAACATATCGAACCGAAACACTATCACTAAAATATTAAATTATTATACTCCGTATTAATCATACATTTTCATTTGTTATCTTTTTGTATATTTAAGTCAGATCATATTTATTTGGTGTGAATTTAACATGTTTAAACTTATGTTTTTATATTATTTTGTTATCCCGGGGTACAATTCAAGTAAAAATGTGCACAAATATTTTAAATTACATCAATTAGTTTTTATGAAAAAATATATTTTAAAATTATCGAAGTATTATGGAATGGTTTGATATTAGTACGACATAGTATCATCCCACTTCCTCCGACCTAGAGCTGGCAAAATGGTCGAGCAGGTAGGGTTCAGGTTATTTCGGGTTCGAGTTATTTCGGGTTCATGACCCAATGTAAACGGGTTCGGATCGACCCAACAGATTATGACTTTCATTTATTTTTTGAAATTTTAAGTAATTTTTATGAGCGACTCTTAATATCATGAATAAAAAACTAAATGTGCAGAAAATTTTGCGATATCATTAAAATTTTGTATAAAAATATAAATTTATACATTAAAAACAAGTAATAAACAAAGAAGTATAAATAAAATCTTATTTTTATAACATTATATTACATATTAAAGCATATGATTTTAAAAAATTCTTATATTAGCGGGTCGGTCGAGTCGGGTTCGGTCGGGTTTGACCAATTTTTATAGGGTATTTTCAGCTTCGGTCAACTTTGGATTCGGTCAGCAAAACCTTTACTCAAAATCCAGTATTTTTGGGTCGAGTCTCGGGTCAAAAAACGGTCCTATTGTTTTTTGGCCTTTGAATCATAGGTAGCGAATGATTTTAGGGCTGTTTAGGCTTAATACTAAAACAATAATGAACCATTTGAATAATAGGAGTTTGGTATGGTTTTAGGGGTGAACAAGTACCGAACCGATAACGAAATTTCCCGAAAAAACCGAGAATACCGAACCGAAAAATACCGAACTGAAAAAGTACCGAGAAGGAACCAAACCGTACCGAACCGAATGGTCGGTACGGTATTTCGGAACGGTACGAGGTGACGTCCCATACCGAAAATCCCGAACCGAACATATATACTAAAATATTATAAAAAATAATACTCCGGAGTAATATTTTTATATTCCTTCACTAAATAATAATTTTTTTAAAAAAATCGGTTCAAGTTCTATTATATGTAAATTATACTTTTATTTGAGTTTTAGTTTTTGTGTATGAACATAAAAGTATTCACAAAGATTCGAAATACTTATTTGTTGTCGTTCATTTCTTTAGTTTTTGAAATATAAACTAAGTTTTGATACGCATCTCTTGCATTTAAATATTCATTTTTTTTAATTTTTCATGTTTTTTTAAATTTAAATTCACTTTTAATTTTCAAAAATAAAGGGGCGTTGTTAAATTTTAATGTGTAAGTAGGTATGTATATTCATCTCGATTTGTGTCGAAACTGATACCGAACCATACCGAACCGATATTTCGGGATCAGGATCGGTACGCAGTAAAATCCCCCACAGTACTAAAATATTTGATACGGTATCGGTACGAGGTAAATAGTCTCTGCATTACCATGCTCAGCCCTATGCAATGGGCAATATGGCGACTCGTTGAGTTTTCCTCCTCCCACCTGAGTGAGTTCTGAATTCTCTTAAACCCCATCATGGCTGCAAATTTCTGGACCTCATCTCACTAGTAAGTTTAGATTGAATCGTTTTTTGTTCGTGTGAATATGGGTTTCCTGTGTTTCGATTATATCCTTTTTTCGTTATTATTTTAATTTCCCAATTTTTCCCATTGCTTCTAAATTACAGCAAGAATCTTCTGGATCCTGAAGAGGTGGATGTTGCTCATCAGATTGAGAAGGAAAGAGGCATCACCCTTGAGGATCGCAAGCTCATCAAGCTCCATATGTCTAATTGTATTTCTCCCTTCTTGATTTCTAATCTATTAGTGTATATATGTGTTGGAACATTGATTTTTAATGATTTTCTTAGGTATCTGTTACTGATTTATGTACTGAAATTTTATGGTTTTATGGGAAATTTTATATCTTGATTAAACTCAATGACAGGGCTCTTTGTAGTTTTTTTTATTTATTATTCTTTGAAGTTTGTTCTAGTGGAATGTCTTCTATTACCAAAACAATTATGTGATTTCTGTGTAAGGTAGATCCCTCTTTTTCATTGGTTGTGCTGTATATGCAAAACAAATGGGTACCCGAGATGCTCTAGCATATAAATATAACTATTTTTTCTGTAAGCAAATGATATGGCTCTCCAAATCATCAATTTTTATGTCACATCTAACTCCCTAAACATAAAAAAAATCCATCGACATTCATGGTAAGCAGTAAAATTTTAAAAAAAGTGTATTCTAATTGTTAGTAGTCTTTTTGGGGATATGTAATGGAAAACACGATGCCACATTTGTTCTTCTCCTTGCTTGCATATTTCTTGAATGAATTTGTACCTTTTTCTACATTCTTAATCTCTTTCGCTTATCATGCAATGATAACCCTATTTTGCTATCTTTACAGACATGACAAGACTAGCTCAAAATGTAAAAGTAAGACAAAGGTTTGTGTTTCCTTCTGATAAATCCGGCTGATTAGATAGTAAATATAATCTTCTCTTGTGTGCTCTAAGAATGGGGGAAAATGTCACATCTTTTTTTCTTTGCCACATTTGGCAAAATTTTTTGCAGTCTCTAACACGCTGGTTTTTATCAGGGTTGTAGCTACTGCCATTTCGTATATGAGACGTGTTTACGTCAGGTATATTCCGGTAATTTCCTCAGTTTAGGAGTAATATGAACAACTAATGACTTGTTGTCTTTCATTAAGTTGATCAATCTGTCCCGATCACCCTTTTTGTTCCCTTTAGTTTGTTATGTTTTCACACTTAATTTCCTTCTCACTCTGGAAACATGAGTACTTATAACTGCATTTTCTATTATTCCCTTCAGAAAGAGTATGATTGAGTATGATCCTCGCCTGGTTGCTCCGGCCTGCTTATACTTGGCATCAAAAGCTGAAGAGAGCACAATGCAGGCTAGGCATCTTGTGTTTTACATCAAGAAATTATGTAAACAATTAGGAATTTTTAACATTCCATTTACTTATTCCATTCCCTACCTTTTTACGCAATTGACATCCCATTTTATTTATCTTTTTCAGATTCCGATGAGAAGTATAGATATGAAGTAAAGGACATCCTTGAAATGGAAATGAAGCTTTTGGAAGCTCTCAACTATTACCTTGTTGTATTCCATCCATACCGGTCTCTAACACCGTAAGAATTGCGTTCTAAAGATTTTATGTGTTGCAAAAATGCGAAGTCGTTATAACATATACTTAGTTTAGATACATGGTTTAGAAGAACAGAATTAAAGTTTCAAATAAATTATGCAAATTCTACACAAGTTGATTGAGGTGTGGAATTACAATTTATTTGACTAGTTCCAATTTGATCATTTCTTGATTAGTGCAGAGTGAGTGGTTCAATTGTTTTCATATGCTGTTAGGTTGCTTCAAGATGCTGGCATGAGCGACTCAACTCAACTGATATGGTAATAATGGGCATTATTTCAGTCTTATCCATCTGTGTATATTGTCAGCCTTAGCCTGTACGTAAAACCTGTCTGTCTTTTGTACGCTGTATGTTACTGCATTTTCAGGGGAATTGTGAACGATACATATAAGATGGATCTGATTCTTATACACCCACCACACTTGATAGCACTAGCATGCATTTACATAGGGAGTGCATTGAAGGACAAGGAGACCACTCCCTGGTTTGAAGAGCTTCAAGCTGACATGAACATGGTATTGCTGCTTGCAAGCTAAATCTCTCTCATAACCGTTAGAATTACTCCACAACATGCACATAAGAAATTTACCATTTTACCCCCCCCCCCTGTTGAATCCATGACAGGTGAAAAACATTGCAATGGAAATATTAGATTTTTATGATTGCCACAAGATGATCACAGATGAAAGGGTGAATGCGGCAATGAGCAAGCTTATTGGCAGATGACATGCGCGGTGACACCTGCAAATCACTGCTGGTATTGCACCTAGCATGACTCTGAATAACATTCCGTACTTGAAGATTAATGAGACATTATTGCTTACAAATATCTACGAAGATACACGCCACAAATGCAGTTCTGTATGAGAATCTTGGAAAACTTATTATTAAGGAAAGAATAACAATTACTGTGGTTTGGTGTGGCAACCACACCAAACCGAGCCTAACACGAGGATGTTGGATATATTGTATAATGATTGAAAGTTCAAAACGCTAAAGGATGAATAACAATTACTGTGGTGTGGTTTACCCCTTTGGTTCTCAGATGCCTTCTTCTAGAGCAAGAACATGAATCATCAACCATGGAATCCCTTCCCCTTTAGATGGATATGATCTGGAATTGTGGAAGTTGGGTAGTAGTTTGGGTCTTAGCTCATAGTTTTTCTCGTCGCTTCAACTCGTTCCAGTTTCTTCTAACTTGTTCCATTTTATTCCAACTCATAGTTTATTCCAATTTCTACTACAACTACTATTACTATATTATCTTGTTGGTCATGTGTGCATTAATTTTCCAGTGGCAGAGACTATTTGAGCCAAGTTATACTTGAATGTCTTGGTTGTTTGTGTGTGCAGAATGCACTAAAAGACATAGATATGCGTTTCTTTTAACATGAATTGATTTTAGGTAGGGGATGTTAATCGGATTTGATATGTCGTTACCAAATTCGTATCCATTTATTTTTATCAGATATTGAATTTGGATACGGGCGTTGACGGATATTAAAAATCATGATCACTTAGCAATTTTTATCGGATAATATTTGAGAGTTGATGATTTAAGAGTGTGATACGTATTATGATTAGTTGGCAATTTTTTGTACACCTAATTGACAAAACTGTCAAATTCATAAAAAGATTAGCCCATTTTCGTGATTAGGCTTGGAACTTTAGGTAGGAAAATTTGTCTTAAAAATTGCGATTTGCTTACTCCAATGAGTTTTCCACGGATCTCATAAATTGACGGGTGATTATATTTGTTGTACTAAGCGTTTAATTTAGAAATCACCCTAAATAAGAGTAAAACATAAAGAAAGTACTAAAATAAGATCTTCATCTTTTTATCTCTAAAATAAGAGTTTGTATTGTGGTAATGTCACACTACATATGGATAATTTACAATACTTTTTGGTAATGTACATGGTAATGGATTGGCACTTGATGATGTAAAATCTATGCCAACTAAGACAAAACGAAAAACAAAGTTTAGAAGGGTTAGGGGTGGAAACACTTATAACCCGGTTGTTATATTTTACGTAATTTCTTTATTGCAATTATGTCTTGGCGGTATTATTTCTTACTCTAAGTTGCATCCCCCCATTGAGAATGCTTACATCAATATTTATAGGGACAAAAAGGTATACTATTCAGATACACTGTAGCCATCCCCTATCATTCTTACTACCGCCATTATGGTGTCAGGTTTCTCTCTGTGCTGCAGGGTAGGCGGTATGGGCTTATTCACCTTGTCCCATCATCAACTTGTGCTATCACATCCAAGTGGCGTCCCGCCTGGTACTTAAACCCACTAGCAAGGATTTGACATTCAGTACCCCACCCGGGTATTCCTCCTAGTCAATAATGTAAAGTTTGGGTGAACAGTGTTGGACATGAGTTCAAACCCCTTTTGAATATTCTTTAATATTATTTTTCAGGTTTTGATAAATGACAAATGCAACGCCGAATGAAAAATTTATTTTTGATTCGAGAAAGCAAAGAGGCATATCAAGAATTTTTACAATGATAATTTTCGACGTTCCAATTCCTACGCAGAATTTTATGAAGTGAAGTGAAGATTCCGAAGACTTTATATTTATTGAGTCGTAGGAACATTTGTAAGCACGACAAATATTTTTCACTTAAACAAATTAATTTCAAAGGGTTAAACTATTATTTTTAGATTCAGTTGAAAAATAAACTTTTCCCTGTCTAAAAACATTATATTGGGTCAATTATAAAAAGTGTGTCAAGATTTTCTTAAAATATCCTTTTAACAAATTTTTATGGTTAAGAAAAATTTATTTTTAAATTTTTTTGTGTACATCGTTTGACACACAATATTTTTGGGACTCATTTATACACCAAAAAATTTCCTTCATTTATTCAAAAATTATTTTTTGAATAATTCTTGATAGGATGGGGAGCCTTACCCGTGATTTCAATGTCCCAAATAAACCCATAAGTTTAAAAATGCACTTCAACTCGCACATATGTCTTGGGTCCTTTATGTTTGGAAATGATTCTTCAGATGATCAATCCACCTTTTTGGATCGATGACCGTGTGCAGAGCAATTCTTCAGTGGATCGATCCACCTCCCTGGATCGATCACAATGTACCCAACATTTTCTTCGTGGGATCGATCCAGGGGTGTGGATCGATCATCACCCGATGTTGTGATCAAAATTTTTACCAAATTTTTTAAATCTTGGTGATCCATCATATGGGTTAGATCGATCACCTGAGGTTAAATCTGTCAAAAAAAATTTCTTTTTCTCCGCAACGGATTTATTTTTCTTAACCCTATTAAATCCCACTTCCTCCTTCATTTCATACACAATTCATGCACTCCATTCTCTTCCTCTAATACATTTCACTCTTGCTCCATTCTTGATCATCAAAATAATATTTTGAAAGCTAGAAACATATTTTTATTGCGTGCAAAAATAATGTCATCTATACGAGCTTTACATTTAAACACTACTTGCTGAATTGTGTGAGCCTTCATTCTTGTGTTGTTAAACTCAATTTCCCTTGAGTTTGTGAGTTCTAAGACTTGTGTGATTCAAGTCTTGTTTGTAAGAAGTTGAGGCTTATGAGATTCAAGTTCTCGAGTTGTAATTGGTTTTTCAAGCACCCGTTGAAGCTTGAAGTATAGTAGGACCTTTGAGAGAGTCTCTCGAAGGACTGGACTAGCCACGATGTGGTGAACCAGTATACATCGTGGTGTTCTTCTTTCTCTTTACTCTTTACATATTTCCTGCAATTTTTCTTTACGTTTATCACACACGCAAAAAACACTCATTCTAGAAAACAACTCTATTCTTCCCCCTCTAGAGTTGCACGTTTTGTCTAACAATTGGTATCGGAGGAGGAAATTCTTTGAATACATATTATTTTTCAGGAATTCAAAGATCAATGGCTTATAGAATGTTCAACGCAGGAGTTAACGAGGGCCAATCCACCACGAGGCCACCATTGTTCGATGGAACAAACTACTCGTATTGGAAGGAAAGGATGGGGATCTTCATTCAATCCAACGACTATAAGTTGTGGTTGATTGTGAAGAACAGTTGGATCATTCCTATGAAGAAAGTCGGAGAAATCAACTTTCCTAAAACCGAAAAGGAATACACCAACGAAGATTGCAAGAAGATGAAGCTCAACGCCAAAGCAATAAACATGATGTTTTCTGCTGTTAATGCGGATGACTACTGCAAGATATCGCAGTGTGAAACCGCAAAGTAAATGTGGAAGAAGATGGAGATCACCTACGAATGAACCGCCTAAGTAAGAAACACAGAAATTGATCAACTCACCCATGAGTATGAATTTTTTCCATGAAGGAAAACAAGAAGATAGAGGATATGTTTGAGAGATTATCTAACATCATCAATCCTTTAAATCTTCTCGGGAAAGTATACACCGACCAGAACTAGTGAGGAAGGTGCTGCGGAGCTTGACACCAAAGTGGCATTCAAAGGTGGACGCAATCAAAGAAAGTCATGACTTTCAAATGACCACTTATGATTCTCTTCAAGGTAGTCTTATTAGCTACGAAACCACTCAACTTTCTAAAGTGGTTGAAGAGAAGAGAAGAGAAAGAGAACCATTGCTCTAGTCGCATCAATGTCAAACAACGACAACAACATTGTCGATGATGATGATAGTGACGACACCGACCTCACACTACAAGAAAACATGCATTTTGCAGCACTTATTTTACCGCACTTGACCAATTGAGGCTAAAAGCTAACAGTTATTTAGCTTTTTCGCACATACGAGTGTTGCTATGACAAAAACTACTCCGTAATCCTCTAATTCAATAAAAACAATCCAATAACTTAATATACTACCAAAAAATAAAAAGTTTAACCCATTTCATTAATAATCAGCAGTCTGATCCGTCACTCCTTTTAGTGAGATTTTACACAGAGGTCACCACATCACTCTCTGAAATTAAACTCAAACATCGAATTCACATATCAAAATTGCAAATTGCAGATCAGATCGATTCTTCATCTATCGGACACACAACGAAAACATATAGCAGTCGCGGTAAGAGACGTCGCTGGGGCTAGGGTTTCAACCCTAGTCCCGGCACTATTGACGATGACGCCATCAGCGACAAGGATGAGGCAGGGAGCAACGACAGTATGGAGTGGCGACCAGCGATTCCCGACGATGATTCAATAGCGATTAAACCGCCAATCTAAGAAAAAAATCAGGCGCCTATGGTTATTTGTGGGTATAAACTCTAAATTGAAATTGTTCTGTATTTTCTTCTTCTTAGTCTCTGTTCAATTTCGGTTCATTGTATATGTTTTAGGATTTTGGACAGATTCAAAGTCAAAATTGATAATTATATGTTATGGTTAAAATTTAAGCAAAATTTTATGATTTTGTATTTAATTGAGAACTTCGCCATTGTCCCTAGGCTGCGCTAGATGGCTGACTACAATCTTCCGCCGCTTCCTTCGCCATTGGCTGAATTTAAGGTAAATGAAATTCAATTAATTTCAGTTTTTAGGGTAAACACAACTCAACTTGTTGGATTTAGCGGATTTAAAGTTTCATGGTTAATTTGAGTTAATTGACAGTTTTGAGTAAGTGACGGTTGGGATTGTAGAGACCTTTGTAGATAAAGAGCCAAATTCCCAGATTTCTTGCTTATGCCACGACGAATACCGTTGATATTGAATTAGGCAATGATTCCTTCGTTCAATGTTAGGTACAGGTACACTTTCCCACACAATTTGATCCTTTGATAATGGGCTAACATTTTTTCTAGCTTTTCTACTTTTTCTTTACAGTTTTGATCAGTATAGGTTCAGAGACAATATGAAACATGGTTAATAGGTTAATATGCAACTTCATATAACCTCAAGACTAACTAAAACCATGGATTGCTTTGGGGCAATTAGTCTTAGTTTCACTTTGGACCATTTTAGAGGTCTCATATCTGGCCATAAGGTTCTCTTCTAGTCAGATTTGGGTGGGTTTTTTTTTTCATTTATTGAATGATTGCTCTATTACTATGAGAAGTTTCATATTGGTACACCATATCATTTTGTTCCTTGCCAAACAAAATAGGACAGGTTATCTAGACAACTACAAAAATGAATGGAGAAGTTACTGGAGTTTTTTCCCTGAGGTATTTGGAACCTTT